CATCTGGTAACTTTTAGCCTCTAATCCCAACAGTTCTGCATGATGATTATGTTGCTCTATTCAAGGAAATGAAACAAGGTTTTCTTGTTTGATGTGACCGAAAGAAAACCTGGCCATTATGTTTCTCTGGCGTCTAAAAATCTCATAAAATTAAAGCTTTCTGACCCAATGATAGATTAGATCAGAGGCTGGTTCTGTCAAGCATCAAGAAACCTGTGGTCGTGGGACAAGCTGTTGCGTCTGATCGCACTCACAGCATCTGCTGGAAGTGGTTAGCAAATTCTGCTACTTCAGCTCCACCACGACAAATAGTCTGTCCCACGCAGCAGCACTCGACAACACACAAGAAAATCAGCTACCGCAGTAGGTATCCACACAAAATAAACGTGGGATAACACCCAGCTGCTGGGTTCTGGGGCCAGTCTTCTCAGTGTCTTGCTGTATTGCCGTGAAATGTTGCTGACTTGCAGTTACGGAGAAAAGATGCTCCACAATTTCTGCGGTGTGCTCTGGCTGTATCCTGGCAGCATGAATCACGAATGCAGCAGTTCTGCAACAGGCAGAGCTCCCAGGTTTGTTCGCAGTCACGAAATTGAAGCAGTTTTGTTGGTTGAGGCACGTCCCCTGCAAAGGAGAGGGTCACATAGACTGTGTGGTGGAATAGCCAGGATCAGCTGCCTGGTAGCACCACCCAAAGCTCCACTTTAACACTGCTTGCGAGCGTGACGTGAAGGCTGCAGACATTGATGTAACATGATTCTTGATAGCTTCATGTTGGGCAGAGCTCACCTCTTGAGGATTGGCTTACTCAGATCCCAGCAAAGGTGCGGCACATGGAAAGAATTCTGAAATGGATTGTTTGCCGTGTGGTTCCATCTGTTGTGGATGGAAGGATGTGAACCTCTATCAAGAAGAACATTCAGATTCCAGATGAGGGTCCCGTCTGGCTTTTTGCGAACAGTGGGGAGCACTTATCACTTCAGTAAAGGAAGCCTGATGTTGTTGAATTGCCAGGCTGTGGTTTTCACTGGGATATAGGATCCAGCCTGCAAAGAGGTGCTGGCCATTCAGGGGCCAGTAGCTTTCCATTTCTGGCAACAACGTCTGGGGGAGTGGCTGCTGCTGGTATTTATACTGAGGACTTCCCCATGGGATCACTGTGAGAACCTCGGAGAGAGGAGACTGTGGCGGGTTGTGAGTCACAGGGAGAGGTTTGCCAACGTGTGTTGGGGTAGGAAGGGGTGGCTTTGAGAGGGTAGCCCCTTTCCCGATGCCAAGCCCCTCCATCAGGCATTAAGCACCTTTGAAAGGGTTCATATGATGGTCTGAAGATAGGGCTGAAAACGCATCAGTTTTGGACAGTCATGGAGTCTTGGTGGGCTCTGGTGTAATGACTTTTAAGTATCTAGTTAATCAGTCTTATTAGCCAGATTTCTGCAGGTTTCTGCATCAACCCGTTCCTGTTGTGTTTAAGACCCTGGAGCAACCTTGTGATAATATCACGGTGCTGCACGGCACTGAGTATAAATACCATGGAGTAGGCGGTGCTGGAATACGCTGGAAGAAACTCACTAGAAGACACTAGAATGTGACTGTCTGGAAGACACACCGAGTACATTGATGTGAGCATTCAAAAGATAGATTGGACATTACCTAACCTGAGTATAGAATATGGTATATGTTTACCGTGTATAGTAGTTGGCATGAATTATGATAAATATAAGCCTGAAGACAATTCTTGATTTTATCTTCTTGACTATTCTGTAAAGAATCCAAACTCTTAGCATCAAACATGTGATAAAAGATCAGGTTCAAACTAGGATAGACAACATACAGGAGATGACAGTTCAGGATTCACTGCCTAGATCTTTCACAGCATATAATTGTGGAAATGAGCTTTAAGAAAGCAAAGAGGGCAGTAAAATGCCCACTAGCAGTTAAGGGCATAAATCTGAATTGAGTACATGATAAGAGAAGTTGATTACTGGACCCCTAAAGCAGATTTATTCCCTGGAGAGAAGGTTGTGGGGGGAGAGCGGGGAAACAAATTGTTTCACCTGTAAAATCTGTTGCAAATGAGATGACCTCTTGAAGACGGTCTACCAAGCAACTACTCAAATTGTTCATAACTCAACATATACGTTCATGCCTTACTCCTTCCTCAGAGAATTAATACCATCATGAAATCAGGATGTTTATGATGGAAAAGAAGAGCCAATCTAACTTCTCTGTATATTTCTGCAGTTACATCAATATGGAATCGAGGTGGAAGCCAATAAAGAAACTGCAAAATCATCAACTTCACCTCGATTGTCTAATACCTCATTATAGACTTTCCTTCCCTATCTTCTGACAAAGATGAATCAAGACAAAAGATTTGGAGAAGGCTGTGAGAAATAAGGAAAAATGTATTGTAAATCCTATAAAAAGAAATAAGCTAAATAAGTCATTTGAGAAGGGTTAGGTAATGCTTATGACCAGGGGAAGAAACTTGGGAACGGGCTGAAGTGTAAGGGAATTAGAACCCGGAGCTGCACATCACTGTGTATAAATACTACAGAGTGGGCAGAGTTCAAGCACTCTGGATGAAACTTAATAGAAAACACTAGATTGTGATTCTCTGGAAGATACACAGTGAGGACATCGACATAAACATTCAAAGATGATAGATCAGTTATTCCCTAATGTAACATTAAGCCTGAGTCTTGTTTATGTATGTTATGTATGCTAGTAGTTAGAATGAAAGCATAAATTGTGTTACTTTGAAGTTTAAGCCTGAAGACAGTTCTTGGCATTGCCCTTTTCCTTGACCAGTCTGTAAAAAGCCCAAACTTAGTGCAGCAACAAATACAAAACAAAAGGTGGGAGCCGAGCTGGAATACGCAACTTATGATAGAATTCCCACTGCTGACTTAAAAGGGGTGAGGGTCACTTTTCCTGCTGGTGGAAAAGGAATGCGTAAATTCCCCTGTTATTATGTGGATCAGCCTCACACCTCACCACTGTGGCTGGTTTCATTAAATCCCAGGCGCTGTGATTCATTTCAATGTCTTTGAGAAGTGATGACAAAAATCTTGGTGCATAAATGAGAGATTTGCTTTTCTATCACACTATTAAGGATGATGATAAGCTAATGAAGTATATTTTGAAGTATAGGTACTGTAGTAATGCAGGAAGTGCAGTCTCCAATTTGTGCACAGCAAGCTCCCACAAACACCAGTGAAATAAACTACCATCTGATCTTGCAGTTTATGATTTCAAACATGTAATGGACTTCAATTTGTCTGTTGTTAATTGCATCTCAAGTAATATCTAAAGAGGGGTGACTGGACCCGAAATGTTAACTCTGCTTTCTCTCCACAGATGCTACCGTACCTGCTGAGTTTTCCCAGCAATTTCTGTTTTTGCTTCTGATTTCAAGCATCTGCAGTTTTTTTCTTGTCAAGTAATATCTCCTCAGGATACAGTAACTATCTCAACTTCTTCAGTCTGTCATTATGACTCAAGATGCCTCAACCCAGTGGTCAGTTTGCTTCTCAGAATTCCCTGATGGGGATATTATGGTACAGCAACTAGAATTGTGTCTGTACTGTTTCGGACTTGGCTCTGTGGGTCACACTGAGTCAGAAAGTCTTAGCTGTAAATGCCCTACTCCAGACTATTGAATACAAAGTGTAGACCGACACTGCCAGTGTGGCACTGAGGGAGTTCCAGTCTCTTTGAATGAGTGAAATGTTCAACTGAGGCCTGGTCATCCCCTTTGTGTGTATGTAAAAGATCCCATGACACTACTTTTAAGAAGATCGAAAGAGTTCTTCTAATAAATACTGAGGCCTGACCAATACTTATCTCTTCACATCATAAAAAGAAATGAAGGATGACTTTGGGATCTTGCTATGTGCAAACGAGCAGCCGTATTCCAACAGTGACTACACTTCAAAGAAAATACTTCACTAATTGTAAAGCATTTTGTGATGTCCTGAGTACCACCAGAAATGCAAATTTTTGCACGATCAAATTCACACTTGTGAGCACAGGAAGTGACACTTTCACCATGTCCCTGCTCTTGTTTTAAGTTTAATTTGCTGGTCCACTATTGCTTGAACTGTAAGTCCCTTCTTCCTCCTTCATACACACTTCAGTGTATCGGTGAACATTGATGTGTAAACTGTGATGACCCCAGTGCTGAATCTTGTTTTCACCAGAAAGCTGTTGTCATGCCAACAGAGCTTAATTTACAATTGTCCATTCTTCTCTCTGCTATGCACAACTTTGATTTATCAGTTTCACCTCCATCTCACAGGCTGGTTTCTCTAATAGTTGCGTGCGGTTGAATTACTTCTTTGATGTGGTATCAAAAGCTGCTGTTTAAATCTAAGTGCCTCAAAAGCACAGATTGTTCATCATGAACAAGGATTCCCATTTCCTCAGGGAACTTCCCTAAATTTTAGCTGCCCCTATCCTAACTCACACAAAGTCTCATTGATCTATTGCTGTTGTCTTTGTTGATCTACATTGGTTTCTGATTAAGCAATGCCTTGATTTTAAAATGCATTCTTGCGTTTAAACTCCTCCAGGGCCTCACCCTTCCAACTTCTGTAATTTTCTCCAGCCCCATTTCCTTCTGGATACCTGGATGCTCTTTCAATTCCATCCTCTTGCACAGCCTGCATTTAACCATCTCACTATGTCTTAGGTTCCCTGGGCCCAAAGTTGTAGAATTCCCTCCATAATTGCTGCACATCTTGCTCTACACCTCCTTCTTTAAGATGCTCCTTAAAACCAACTCCTTCATCCATGTTTTTGGTGACCTGTGGTATTACTTTCTCATGTGATTTGTGGTAAATCTTTGTCTGATGATACTCCTATGAGATACCTGAGCATGTTCTACACTGAAAGGACCTATGCAGATGCATGTTGTTAAGCAGAATGTTCTGTGAGGGTATTATGTCTGTGTGGAGAAGTGGTTTTAACTGCAATGTGCCTTTCTTTTATTTAAGCTCCGGTTCCAACCCAGCCACCTGCACCTCTTGCAACAACCACCCCATTACCTACAATTCCTCCTGCCAGGGAAGGTAAGGCATATGTGTTACAATTCAGATCCTTGGTTTGGGGAGTACAGTTATTTGTATAGCTCTGTATTTTTGTTCCAATCGAGATTAATCTTCACACATGGTTGAGGATATTTTTACCATTCCACTCTATATCTCACAATGTGTATTGTTTACAGAATATCCAGCACCTCTGTTTGAACAACTTTAATTGGTTTTGCTAGTTGTCAGTCACGCTAATCATTACAGCTATGGTTTAGAACAGGATTAAAGAGTGATCGGATTAGGGGGATTTGATCTGATTAAAGGGCTTGATAGCATAGGTAGTGAGAAACTATTTCCTCTTAAGGAGAGATGTAACTTTTGAATCTTTAGAATTAGAGCTGGGCTGACAGTGGTGATGTCAGGAAGACTTGGTCATATAGCAGGGCAGTGCAAATCTGGAATCCAAACCCACCAAAGTGGGTCAATCGGAAAAAGTCCAAACTGAGGTTGACCATTTTTTATTATGTAAGGGTATCAAGTGTTAGATAACCAAGGATGGTCCTAATACACAGACCGGCTGAATGAATGGGCAGGTCCAAGGAGCTGAAAGGTATCTCTCATGTTCTTACATCCTCCTATTTCTGCAGGACCTCACCTGTGAGAAGCAGCTTTCAGTTGTTTTTGGTAACAATTCATTCTTTGTCTTCTTCCTCCAGTTTGTAAAGCTGCCAGAGCGAACTTGGTGTTTCTTGTGGATGGGTCATGGAGCATCGGTGATGAGAATTTTGTCAAGATCATTGGCTTCCTGTACAATACGATTGGAGCTCTGGACAAGATTGGCCCCGAGGGAACTCAAGTAAGCACTAGAAAAGAAGTAGCGTCGGGCATATATAAATTCAGAATCAGCACCACATTGGATTGTTCTCTGATTCTGTCTGCTGGTTGGAATATGTTTGGATTTATGTGTCTTTTTTTGTGCCAATTGCCTTATGCCACAGCAAGACCAGACTTCAAATTCCAAATTGTTAAAGCACAGAGAGAGGACACTCAGTCCATTGTGACTGTGCTGGCTGTTTGTAAGAGCTATCTGATTAGTGCCAGTCAATCCCTCTTTCCCCATTGCCCTGCATTTTTCTTTTTCTCTTCTAGCAATGATATAGTTTCCTTTTGAAAGTTATGATCGAATCTGTTTGTAATTCCCTTTCAGGCAGCATGTTCCAGATCACAGTAACTCATGAAAAATAAATCCTCTTCCCTCCTTTGGTTCTCATGACAATTTGATAAATTGGTGTTGTCCAATTATCCGACCTGCTACCAGTAGTAACCATCTTTCCTCATTTATTCTCTCAATGCCCTTCATTATTGTGAACACATTAATGAAATCTTTCACGGCTGTAGGATGACCAATCTCAGCTTCTCCAGTGTCTCTCAACCCTTTTAACTAAATCTGCTCTGCACCCTCTCCAAAACCGAGGGAGCCTCCCTAAAGCATGATGACCAGACTTACACACCATACTGTAGCCTGAGGCTTGTTTTGTAATCTGTGAAGGTCAAGCAGAATCTTCATTGCAAATTCTTTAGAGAACCCATTGATACCTAACACACTAATACTAAACGTGTGACAATTCTAACTCTCACACACAAATACAAACACAGAGTTAGGAGCAGGAATTCGCTATTTGCCCCTTCAGCCTACTCTACCATTTAATAAGATCATGGCTGTCCTGATTGTAACCTCAACATTCCCACCTACCCCAATACCATTTACCCCCTGCTTACTCAGAATTTATCCATGCTTACCTTAAAAAAAATTTCAGCACTATCACCTCTCAAAGGGAGAGTTCCAAAGAGTTGCAACACTATCTTAAATGGATGACTCCCTATTCTTAAAAAAAAGCCCCCTATTTCTAGGTTCTCCCACAAGAAGGAGCATCCTTTCTATATGTACTCTGTTAAGACCCTTCAGGACCTTCTATGTTTTAATCAAGTCACTTCTTGCTTTTCGAAACTCCAGTGCATACAAGCTTAGTCTGTCCAAGTTTTCCTCATAAGGCAACCCACCCATTCTAACTATTAGTACAATAAACCTTCTCTGAGCTATTTCCAAAGCATTTACACCCTTTCTTCAATGAGGAAACCAATACTGTACAAGTACTCCAAATGTGGTCTAGCCAATGCTCACGTAACTGAAGAATAACCTCCCTACTTAGGCATAAAACTCCCCTAGCAATAAACAGTAACATTCTTAATTACTTGTTGATTCTGCATATGATTCATGCGTTGAATACGTTTTGAAAAAATGGACATTTTCACAAACTTCTACACACAACACATACATCCTCCATTGGTAGAATGTGATACAGGAGAAAAATCACCATTTATTCATTTAAGAGGAAGTTAGACAACATACAAAGGAGAAAGGAGTAAAAGATTTGTTGATGAGGGTGTGATGACGAAGGCTGGAAGCATATTTATGTGAAGCACAAGCTGAATGGCCTGTTTCAGGATTGTAAATTCTGTACACCATATATTATTGCATGTGAGAAAGTGATTGTCCTGAAGCTAACAGAGACAACAATTTCTGACTCTAAACTGAGTAGTACATGGGAATTTGCATGTTTAAATTCAGCATTAACTATCCTCAGTGCACTTTTAAACTGTCAGCCTTCTGAACCAGTGCTAACCTCAATAGCTCATACGTACAGACATTATTCAGAAGAATGTGCACCTCATGTAAAGCTTTACCCTAGTGTCCCTTTGACATTAGGAAATTGGGTCTTTGCTTTTGCACACATTTCAAGTGTACTCAACATGAAATTCATTGTTTTTGTGAAATTGACCTTGTAACGCTCTTTGCAAATTCAACTTCAATGCATTAACTAAAAGTTTTAGGGAGAACTATTTCACATTAAATATAAACAGAAAATGCTGGAACTACCCCATGTTTCAGCCAGCATCATGGAAAGACAGAGAGACAGGCAGAGAAACTGAGTTAATACTTTTTCTCTACAGAGGTTGCTTGACCTAGTGAGTATTTTCAGCACATTCTGTTTTTATTTCAGATTTTCAGCATCCAAAAGTATTTTGCTTTCCTGTTTTAGATTTATATGTGTTTCACCTTTCAGTTTTCTCAGTTATTGGATCCCTCGCGTGGCTGAAGAAATATTTAAGCAACCAGTTCATGTGTAGGGGTCAGAGAGACTGACCCTCTGGGATTACAAGGTGTAGAGCTGGATGAACACCTTTTTCAGAAGAAGGGTCTAGGCCCAAAACGTCAGCCTTCCTGCTCTTCTGATGCTGCTTGGCCTGCTGTGTTCATCCAGCTCTACACCTTGTTATCTCAGATTCTCCAGCATCTGCAGTTCCTACTATCTCTGACCCTCTGGGATTGTTCCTTTCCACTTTCCAGCTTCTGCACTGCACCTTGTTCCAGATAACCCATCAACATTGAGAAATGTTCTGCGTGCAATTCATTGTAAATTGGAATGTAACAAGTAGTTAGATGGTTTACCAATCTGATATTTATTTGAAATGGAACAGGTTGCAATTGTGCAGTTCAGCGATGATCCCAGAACAGAATTTCAGCTCAACTCGTACAGTGACAAAGAGAATCTTCTCAATGCTGTCCAGCGTATTAGATACAAAGGTGGAAATACCAAGACAGGTACAGAAAATTATTGTTTAGCATGAAATCAGAGAAATCACAGTGCAAGAGATCAGTAAGCGCATTGGTTCCATTTCAATGCTGATATAAAACTTATGCTATTTACTGTAGTTTCATTTCTTGCTATCCTCCCCGTATCCTTTCATTATAATGTCCCTTTTCAAATGGTCAACCCTGTTCTGTTTCATATGGTGTTTCATTGTCTGTCTAACTTTTCTGTGTGAGGAGGGAAGAAGTTCTAACTTATTCTCTGTGTTTCCCTGGTGTTAATCTCTGTTAACTAACTACAGTTGCAAGTTACATTTCGCTTCTATGACATCTGTCTACAAAAACAATTACAAATCCTGCTATAATTTTTAAGTGACCTTCATTATTCTTAACAACTCCATGTGTGTTTCTCACCACGATGAGCAGCTGAGTTAACTGGGCACATAGTCACTGAAGTTTAGAATGATCAGAGGTGATCTTATTGAGGCATGCAGGATTCTGAAGGGATTAAACATGGGAGAGACAGATTTTTTTCACTGTTCAGGGATTCTGAAACATTGGAAGTAGTCCCAGGATAAGCGGACAATCATTTAAGATTGAAATGAAAACAAATTACTTCAGTCATAGGGTTGTGAATCTTTAAACTGATCTATCCCAAAATAATGTGGATGCTCCATCAGTGAATAGATTTAAGGTTGGGATAGATTTAGGAATTGATGGATATGGAGAGTGGTTAGGAAACTGCAGTTGATGCCCAGGATCAGCCATGATCATGTTGAATGGCAGAGCAGGCTCACTGTGTATTATGGTCCGCTACTCCACCTATTTCTTGCGCCATGCTGAACATGCAGCATCGACTATGGTGACAGTGGAAGAAAAGTGATTGAAAGAAATAACTTTCATTTTTATTGTGCTGTTCATAGCCTCAAAGCATTTCCAGCCAATGAGGTACCTTGTTGAAGTGTAACCACTATTATAATTTAGGAAGCATGTCATATGATTTGAGCAGAACACAACCTCACAAACAACAATGATCTGATAATCTGCTTTTAGTGATGGTGACTGAGGGATAAATATTGGCCAGGACACCATGGACAACTCATATACTCTTCAACATTGTTGCCATGAGATCTTGTAAATCTTGAAAGTATCCAGCACAGGACAGGGCCATTTTGTCTATCATGCCTCTGCTGTCTGTCTGAAAGAACTGTCTAATTAGTCTCGTTCTTTGTTCCCACTTTCCCACTTAGCTCTAAAGTTTTGACCTTTATTTATTTTTTTAAGCACTGAGCCTGTTTTGACTCAACATAATAGGTGACAGCCGTTCTGTAGCTCACTTCGCAGGGCAATGCCCTGTCCAATCAGAGCCAATCTGCTGCTTAAAAATTTGTATAAAGCCTGCCACTTAACTGTCAATTTTCAGTTAATGGGTGCATTCTCCATGGCAACCTATACCAATCAGTGTGCACTTGCAAATTAATCAGTACTCTCCTTACTTGCAGTATAAATATCGACTTTCCCCTTGAATTGGTATTCTTGTGAATTGTCCTGCTAAGTGCAAGACAAAAAGCTTTGGCAAAATGTATCTTTTTTTAACAGTGCTTAAGTTCTGTACACTCCGACCACCATAAATAATTATCCAATTTCCATTCGAAAGTTGCGGTTGAATCTGCTTCTATCTCCCTTTCAGGTAGTACATTCCAAATGACAAAAACTCTGTGCATGAGAAAACAACCATCCTCCTCCCCTCCCTGAGATATTTATTCAAGTCCTTGACCTCTTGTCAATGGAAGGAGTACAGTAATCTGAAAGGGCAGACAGGCTCACAATTTAGTTCCTCACCTGAAAGACAGCTTCTCAAAATGTGCAGCACCCACCTACAGTATCTCTGCCGTTTGGAGAGATTTAACAGCTGTTTATCATTCCCTTATATCTATAAACACTTCTATTGTTGAATTTAACATCAGTCAATACGGGTGGGATCCTGTAAAATGATGCCTGGCCTATGTGGGATTTTGCAAGAAAATTATGCCCTTGCATAAAAAAAGCCTGAATACTGTGCAGCGAGCACAGTGTGGATTCTGTTGCATTGTAATCCTGCAGGACGGGCAAAATAAAATTACATTGAAGTTAGAAATGAAAATATCTTAGATATAGCAAAACCAATTAGGCTTTACTGTTTATTTTTCTCAAATTAAATGGCTGTTTAACTGAATTGAAGGGACTGCAAGGTTTTCATTTTGTTGAGTAAAACTCAATACAAAACTTGAAACGGGCCTCACATTACATGATGGAGTGCATCTTACCTGATACCAGATCCCCTTCATCTATCACACCTGTACTCGCTGACTAATGTTAGCTCCTGTTCCCAATGCCTCCATTTTAAAATTCATGTTCTTGTTTTCAGTTCACTCTAGGGTTTTGCCCTTTCCTCTTTTCCTACACACCTCCAAATTACCTCTGCTTCTCTAATTCTGGTCTTTTGTCTATCTTCAATTTTAATTGTTCATCACTGGTTGCTATGATCCAGAGCTCTGAAATACCCTCCTTACACTTCTCCGCCTCTTTTATCTCACTCACTTCCTTTAACACACTGAATAAATCTTTGACCAAGCCTTTCATAATCTGGCCTTGTATCTCCTCATGTGGCACAGTATTATAGTGCTCCTATTGGGTTACAGTGCTCCTATGAAGCATCTTGGGACATTTTATTATATTAGAGTTACTATATAAATGCAAGGTGTTTGTAATTAATTCCTTCTGTTAATTAATGCTGTTTTGTCTGATGTATTCAATAGACAATGTAATGGTGAAAAGGTTAAAAGTATTCATTGAGATGAAATGGTTAAAAGATGACTGCTGACTAGTTAAGAAGAGAGAATTGAATTAAAATGCGTAGAGAGAGAGAGAAAGAGAGAAAGAGAAAGAGAAACCACTTGCTGCAGAAGAGGCAATCATTTATCATTAGGACACCTAATTCCTTTCTCAAGTCACAAATTTCCTTTTGCAGTAAAACATGGTGATGATGATGCAAAACTTCAGATGTAATCATATTTGCTGTTGTACTTCATCATCTTTATATAGCCAGATTGGGAAATGCAAGAATTAAATCACATTTGGAGGGAAATGCAACTTTGTAATAATGACTAAAAAAGTTGAATGAGAAATTAAGTTAATTTGAGCCATTCTTTACTTGTGCATAGTTTCCACGCCTTGGTAAATTTCAGTGGATAAATAGTAAAGAACTTAAGAAAATGGAACTTGAGTAAGACATATGGCCCCTAAAGCCTGCTCTACCATTCAATAGAAATAAAGCAAACTTGCAGGATCCCTACACTGTGGAAGCAGGCCATTTGGGCCATCGAGTTCACACCAACTCTCCAAAGAACATCCCACCCAGACCTACCCTATCTCTTTCACCCTGCATTTCCTGTGGCTGATCCACCTAGCCTGCACATCCCTGGACACTGTGGGCAATTTAGCACAGACAATCCACCTAACCTGCAAACCTTTGGACTAGAGGAGGAAACCCATGCAGACATGTGGAGAATGCGCAAACTCCACACCAACAATTGTCTGAGGTCGGAATCGAACCCGGGTCCCTGCTGCTGTGAGGCAGCAGTGCTAACCACTGAGTCACTGTGCCACCCATCTTCAACTCTACTTTCCCATCTCATTCCCAGTTCCCTTGTTTCCCTTAATATCCAAAAAAATTATCGATCCATTTATTAAATATACTCAGTGACTGAGAATCCACAGCTCCCTGAAGTGGATACATGCTGTGAAGAAATTTCTCCCCATCTCAGCCATAATTGCTGCCATCAGTTCTGGATTCTCCAACCAGGGAAACAGCCTCTCTGCATCTATCCAAGCAGTCTAATTGTCTTCTATTTTTCAACAAGATCACCTCTCATTCTTCTAACTTCAGAAGGTATGAGCCCATTTTATACAGTCTGTCCTCATGGGACAATCCTGTCATCTCAGGACCTGAACCTTCCTTGCACACCCCTTGGAACATATATCCTTTAAGTAACAAAACCAAAGCTACACTGTATCCGGTATGGCCTCACCAAAATCCTGTATACCACACCAAGATTTAGTTGGTGGATGTTCTTTTGCCCATTTACTTGCCTTTGTCTAATATTTAAATCGTAAAGTTTAAATCAAAGCTGTTAAAGTTGATAGAACCTAAGTGGGCAATTGGAATAAGGATGCAGGTTGACTGTGATCTGTTTGGATGGGGCAGCATGCTCAGGAGGTTGAATGGCCTCCTCCTGATCCTGTGCTCATAGATCATACATCATAGATCATAGAATCCCTACAGTGTGGAAACAGGCCCTTCGGCCCAACAAGTCTACACTGACCCTCAGAGCATCCCACCCAGACCCATTGCCCTATACTCCAGCTACACATCCCTGAACAATATGGGGTAATTCAGCATGGCCAATCCACCTAGCCTGCACATCTTTAGACTGTGGGAAGAAACGGGAGCACCCGGAGGAAACCCACACAAATACGGGTAAATGTGCAAACTCCACACAGACAGGAGTTCCATAGTATTTCCAATATCTTCCTGCAAAATGATGAGATCAAGCACCAGGTTTTCATATTCCAGCATTTCCACCCATTGACTCTGGGAAATGGGGCAGTAGGCAAACGATATGCGCCAGAAGTAAGCACAGCCAATTGACTTCTCAAATTATACATCAAGTGTTTTTACTGTGTCCTTTCAATGTGTGGCCAACAATCCCACACTGTATCAGTCCTCCTGTCCACACTTAAATGGGAATACTTCATTATGATTTTCACGTAGCAGTGCACAGCAATGAAAGAATTGGATATTCCCGCTTAGTAAGGGCAACATACTCTTTCCTCACTCAGCTTGCACTCAGGACATACCAAGTACTCATATTTGTATTAATGTAAGTCTTCTGATAACTTTGGTGTTAAGTATATGGAACTGAAGGATACAGGATAAAGAGAATAAAAGCTCATAGACAAGATATGCATTTTGTTCTGTTCATGTATAGATCAATCCATTGTGCATTTGGACAATTTAAGATTTTGACTCCCTTACTAATGCTTGTGATTTGATTTCTACCCTGATTCATCTGCTACATGCTTTTCTTTGAATTCTCAGGCAGGGCTATCAAACATGCCAAGGATACTATCTTCACCGTTGAGGCAGGACTACAGAGGGGCATTCCCAGAGTCCTGGTCGTAATTACGGATGGTCGATCGCAAGATGACATTGACAAGATTTCCAAAGAGATGCAGATTGATGGTAATGGAGTAAAGTAGTTCTAGAAACCCACAATAGATGCATCACTCTATTCTAATCTTCACTGTGTGGACACTTAGGGATAAGAACTGTGCCCATTTGGGCCTGGCTTAGTGATGAACTTGTTTGAGTGAAGGATGCTTTGAAGAATGCGAGGTGATCTCATTGAGAAGTATAACATTCTTAGAGAGTTTGACAGGGCAGAGCTAGGAGGACATTTCTCCCCTGGTTGGAGAGTCTTGAACCAGGCACCATAGTCTGAGAATAAGGGATTGGCCATTTAGGACTGAATTAGGGAAAAGTTTCTTTATCAGGGTTGTAAATTTCTGGAATCCTCCACACCAGAAAGCTATGGATGCTTAGTCATTGAGTTACTAAAACCTCAGATCTGCAAATTTGTGAACATTATGGGACATGTAAATAAGGCAGGAAATTGGAGGTGATTTAAAAGATCACCAAGGATTTTATTGGATGGGTGGAGCAGTTTTGAGGAGTCATGTAGTCTGCTGTGGTTCCTGTTTCTTATTTTAGGTGTGATCACAAAAAGAACATTTTCCTTTGTCTTTCAACAATGTCATGGGATCTGAGTGCTTGCAATTGGCTGGCAAGCCCTTGAGAAGAGCAAATTAAGATATGGTCAAACTGAAATACTTGAGGTTGTTAAAGGAATGGATGGGGTGGATAGAATGAAACACCTTTGCTGAAACAGTGTAACAGAGCTGCTGAGAATCACCAGTGAAAGAGAGGTAGGAAACAAGTTGTGACTGTTCAATTAACATGTAACACAAGCTAATTGTTAATTTACTTCTCATATGGAATGCAGTGCTAAGAGAGCGGTGGGAACTCACTACTGTATCATAACAGGAAGTAGTTGGAGCAAAGAGTAAAGATACATTTAAGGGGAAGCTGGATAGGCATAAGAGCGAGAAAGCAATGGAGGCATTCACTCATGAAGTGAGATTAAAGGAGATTGGGCTGAGGCTAGAAATGCTGGCATGAATCAGATGGGCTGAATAGTCCATTTCTGTCCAAACATTCTGCAAGCATCAATAAGATCCTTTAAAGCATCCAATAAGGGGATTAAAACTAAAATACTCTAACATTGCATTGTATGTGTTACATTGACACTGCTAACGTTGAAGGAATTCCCAAACAATGTCAATCACAAACAGCAAGCTAGGTGCACATTAAGCATTTTTACAGTTAAGTATGGGCAGAAATATGTCGAACTGAAGCACACTGTCATATCTATTTCTGCTCCAGGTTACAGTATCTTTGCAGTGGGTGTTGCTGACGCTGATTACTCAGAGCTTATCAACATTGCAAATAAACCCAGTAATAGGCATGCGTTCTTTGTGGATGATTTTGATGCCTTCAAGAAGATAGAAGATGAGCTTGTTACCTTTGTCTGTGAGACAGCGTCTGCAAGTGAGTCACAAAAAATTAATCTTTCAGCCTTTCAACAATTTTTATTTATAATTAACATAGTGAAACGTCCCAAATTGCTACACAGGAGCTTTGTAAACAAAATTTGATGCCAAAACCCATTGGGAGATATTAGGTGAACTAACAAAGGTTTTGCCAAAGAAATGCTTTCAATAAGCATAAAAGGAAGAGCATAAGGTTGTTTTAAGTTGAAGCGTACTGAGGTAAGAATGTGGATGACTGGCCTAGAAAGTGATGCAATAGACAAGTCTGGAGGAAGGAAAGGTATAATCGATGTATGATTGATTTTACTTAAATTGTGTCTGTGCTGATGACTTGAAAACCCAGAGAGCCCTGTTACTAGTGCTATTGGCCTCAATGTTTCAAGGAATGTGTACCATGTCAGCTCATTTCCATGACCCCTCCCTGCCCAATGTGGTGGACAGCAAGAACTGATTCTGTACCGGGAAGTGCCATAATTGGTCTGTGTTCATGAACTATTGGTCAGCAACAACCCTATAGGTGTCCAAGTCATGTGTCTAAAACTGGTGTGACGCCCCTTGGTGCCTACAAATTGAGGGTTGAATTCCTGTATAAGAAGGCACTCAGCAAATGGTGAGTTCCTTTGGCCAACCAGCCACTAAACCTGTAGATCCATGAATTGGGGCTACCAGTGACAAGGAGAATTAAACTTAAATTACCAGTGCGCCAATGGTGGGGTGGAATGGTGTGCAGGAGGACAAGGAGCTTCTCTTTATTGTTTCATAGGATTTGAGCATCGCTGTCTGGTCCAGCATATCTTGCACATCCTTGCACGTGTCATTGAACTGAGAGACTAACTAGACCATTTGAGAGGACAGTTAAGAGTGAACCACATTAGCATGAGTCTGGATATAGGCCAGACCGGGGAGGATGGCAGATTTCCTTGCATAAAGGATATTGATGGATTGTTACAACAATTGATGACAGTTGTTGTAGTTAAGACTACTGCGACTAGCTCTTGATGGCCACCACATGTACCCCTCTCTCTCTCGGGATTCTCAAAAGTTTGCCCAGTACCTGGACAGTCCCAATCTGCTGCCCCTTGACTGGTGACCTGGCTGTGTGATGTTGAATGGTACTCACACACTGAACTGAGGTTTAAGATAACTATGGGCCCTCACCATCACTCTCATTAGCCACACTCTCCTTTCTCTAGCTCACATTTGCCATTCCAGCTCTTAAACTAAGACAGCACACAAGGTGGCTTTATCCTTTCACTGTTCCACATAATTTGATACTTCCAAAGAAAACTGACTGAATTACTTTCAGTTTTTCTTATGACAAAAGCCTAATTTGATCCAGATTTCACGATGTTTTATTATTGCCAATCTCACACTAATGATGTTTCCAATATTGGCAGCAACAGTGTGTCTCACATGCTGCACTTTTCAGACATTTACTCATGATTTCATCTAGTGTTTCAGATCAGCTGTCTCCGGCTGGGGCCACACACCACTCTATATGTCACAGGTCGGCTAGCCTAAATGAAAGAGAAAAATATGGGGAACATGCATTTCTGTAGCACCTTTAACATCCTCAGGCTGATCCAACCAGCCAAGCACATTGATGGTATTGTCTGTGTTATGATATAAGAAACACAGCAGCAAATAAGGCGCCACATTTTCACGCAGAGGGTGGTGCGTGTATGGAATGAGCTGCCTGACGAAATGGTGGAGGCTGGTACAATTACAACATTTAACAGGCATCTGGATGGCTATATGAATAGGAAGAGTTTAGAGGGACATGGGCCAAATGCTAGCAAATAGGACTAAATTAACTTAGTATATCTGGTTAGCATGGACGACCTGGACTGAAGGGTCTGTTTCCATACTGTACATCTCTATAATTCTATGACTCTATACTTATGATATTAATTCAGAGTGATATTGGCCAGAAAGACCCTTTCCTGTTCTTCTTTGAAATAATGTTGAAAGATCTTTTACATGACTTTGAAATGGCAGATGTCAGGTAGGAGTGCATGTGGACACCTCTAACAATGCAGCCTTCAATAATGCTGCATTGGGAGTGTCAGCCTGGATCTTTATGTTCAAGTCTGTAGAATGGAAATCAAACCCACCACTTTCTGACTTCGGGACATGGACGTTACCCACTGAGCTGTGGCTTCTGCACTGCCCTCCAACAGTCTTGAACCTTGTGACTGCTGCAGAATTGGGAGAACACTGAGCCTTTCACATTTGTGCAATTTGGTTGGGAAAGTGAAATCACATCTGGATATTAACGTGTTTCAATTCTTATATTTTCAGCTTGTCCATTGGTTATGCTTGGTGATAACAGTGTTGCAGGTAAAGGAATCATTACATATTTCATCATTTGTTGCAAATGTTGAGGGAAGTACATCACAATCTTTGTGCTGATCATCCAATGGCAGTAACAGAATTGTTAGAATCATTTCTGTTTGAGTAAATATGTCTCCGTTTGTCATCCATGTGAAAATAACCACATCAGAATAGAATCTTCACAGCTCCGAATAAAGCCATCAATTGTCCTAAGGATATCTTTTTCCTATGTAAAATTGAGGACATTTCTATTTTCTATACAGACCATGTAAAACTGATGCAAGTTAGTGAACAGATCTAATTTTATCTGTACAAAGGAAAATCTAATCTGTTGAAAACAGCTGAGCAAGAAAGAAGACAGTCACTGAGGAATTTCTTCATTCTTAATTCTGAGGTGCTAATTACAATGGACGACAAAGCCCATCAGTCATGGCAATAATTAAGTTTTCCAAATGAAGATTTTAACCCTGTTGAAGAAAAGGCGTAGACTGGTTGGACCAAAGGGTCTGTATCCATGCTGTATGACTCTCTATAGCATCTTTCACAACTTTGGGATGTCCCAAACTTTGCAGTCAAGGAAGTATTTTTGAAACATAGGGCACTGATGTGATTTGAGAAGTATGGCAGCCAGTTTGCACACAGCAAGATCCCACAAATGGCAGTGTGTTAATGACCAGATGTTCCATTTTGGTGATATTGACAGAGGGATAAATATTGGCTAGGACACCAGGAATAAGTGTTATGGTCTCCTTCAAAACAGTGGCCCGCCACTAGAGTACAATATACAATTTGGTATAGTTCTGCAGTGTCTGTCTAGGAATTTTGTGCTCAAGACTTGAAATGAACTCGAACCCATAACATTCTGACTCAAAAGGAAGAGTGCTGTCCCTGAGCTACAGCTATTTATTGTGAAATTATAGTGTGTGTTCATCAAATAGAGGCAGTCTCTGCCCTTTGTTGACACCGAAACTATCATGTGTAAACTACGTGTTCTTAACTGTGAAGGCAGAAATAAAGTCTCATTGAAACAATGCAGATTTACTTCAAGCCCATCATCCTAGCAAGAGAACTTGTTGCAGAGAGAAAATCTGCTAGTGGATATGATGTGGGATATTCATGGTGATGTGTTTTCTGAGTACTGCGCAAAGTGTGTGTGACACATTTGAACAGTGTGATTGATTGAGATTATATTATCTGAAAATTATACAAGTTTCTGTACTTGCTTCCTCGCTACCAGAAAACTATTGTCTTTCACTTTTTAACAAAGCCAGGGTTCCTCTCAGTTTGACCAGTGGAGCTGGAATTGGTCTCTTTGAGCAGAGAATGCTCAGGGTGCAGTTTAATGTGGGAGCTCAAAATAATGTGCTTCTGATAATAGACAAGAATGCAAAACAGATTTCACTGGCAGGAGGGGAGGCAACCGAAGGACACAGATATAAGATAATTGGCAATAGGAGAGACGAGGAGAATATTTTTTAACGCAGTAAAGTGTTCTGATCTGGAATGGCCTGCCTGAAAGGTTAAAGGAAGCAAAGTCAACAATAACAATCAAAAGGGAATCGGATAAATGCTTGAAAAGGGGAAGTCTGCAGGGTGTGGCAGAGAAAGAAAGGGACCTGGTATAATTGGATCTAATATGGATCTAATATTTATTTCAAATGCTGTAAGATTCTATGAGGTCCAATCCATTTAACTTTCAAAGTTGCTTTGCCTGCTGATTTTTAGTAGCATTTTGAGTTTGTGCTGGAAATCCCCCATGTTTTTGATTTCTCACTTTACTTTTGTGGAGACAGAAGTCATTGCTTGGAAGGCAGGCAAGGGTAAGTCAATTTGAACATTCACACCTGAGTACAAATTGCACCTCTTTCAGCACCAGAAGCATCAGAACCCCCCCAACCCACCCCAAACTAAATCCCTATTCTCTGTCATTGAAGACTTCACAGAGATACACATGGGATTTGGCAGACAGGGAGAAGAAAAAAACATGTGAAAAAATGTTTTACAAGTTTCGGACTATGATCTGAAAACACAATTCATTGTTACTTGCAGGGTTTAAGATGATGGAGATGTTCGGGCTGGTTGAGAAGGAGTACGCTTCTGTTGAAGGCGTGTCACTGGAGACTGGCTCTCTCAATAGCTTTCCCTGTTTTAGACTTCACAAAGATGCTCTTCTATCACAACCAACCAAGTACGTGTTGTAATTATAACTGACATTTTGGAATGAAGGTTTCTCTGTAGCTCATATGTTTGTTACTCAAGACAAGAACACTTGATCCTTTCTAGCCTTTGTTGACTATTTCTGTCTTGTTCTAATGGCCAAGACATTTGGCTGTGAAATTACAAGGAGAAATTAAAACAATCTAACACTAACGTAAATCAAAGAACCGCAAATACTGGAGATCTGAAAGAAAAACAGAAAATACGGGTGATACTCAGGTCTGACAGCATCTGTATAGAATAAAACAGTTAACATCTTGAGCCCAGTGACTCTTCGTCAGAACTGAAAGCAGCTGGGAAGTGGTATCTATGCTGATGACCGAGGGGTGGGCTGGGACATTGAGAGGTGAGGGAGACAAATAGATGGAAACAATACCCAGAGAGAGGGAGAGAATTGGGAAGCAGACAAATGGATTGCTGATAGTGATAAATGCTCAATAGCTGCTAAATGGAAGTGTGAATAGTTGAAAATAAGTTGGCTGTGCTGGAAGCAACCCATATAGGACCTCGGCATGTGGGGATGGGTAATGAACATGGAGGGAGGTATTCATATTCTGAAATGGTTAAACTCAATGTTGAGTTCTGAGGGCTGTAGGGTACGAAGGTGGAAGCTGAGGTGTTGTTCTTCCAGCTTGCGTTGAGCTTTGCTGGAGGAAAGCAGCAGGCCCGAGACACAAATGTTGGTCAGGGAACAGAATAGTTTTTGACATGACAGGCAACTGGAACCTCAGAGTCATTTTTATGTATAGACCAGATGCACTGGAGAAACCGGGAGAAGGGAATGGAGTCCTTACAGAAAGCAGGACGTGAGGAGGTATAATCAAGGTAACTGTGGGAATTGGTAGGTTTGTAATGGATGTCGGTGGCTGGACTATCCCCAGAAATGGAAGCAGAGGTACGACAGAAAGGAAAGGAGGAGTCAGGTAGACCAGGTGAAGGTGAGGGAAGGATGGAAATTAGAAGCAAAATTGATAAACTTTTCCAAATCCAGATGGGAGAGGGAGGCTTGCTACAGTGCTTCAGTGGAGCTCAACATAAATTGGAAGTACAACACCTAATCTTCCAATTAGGTACCTTACAGCCCTCAGAACTCAACACTGAGTTAACAATTTGAGAGCATGAAAACCTCCCTCCATATTTGTTACCCACCTCCACATCTCTAGATCCTGGTCTGTATGGGTTTCTCCCAGCACAGCCAACCCATTTTCAACTATAACCCTTCCCATTATCACCTATTCAAAAATTATTATCCCCAGAATCCCTTTATCTGCTTCGCCAATTTTTTCTTTCTCTTTGGGCACTCCTCCATCAATTTGTCTCATTCCCTTTCCAAACGCACCGCCCCCCCCCCCCCCACCCCCCACCCCCCATCATCAACATAAATCCCACTTTTCCCATTTGCTTTTGGTTCTGACGAAGGGTCATTGGATTCAACATTAACTCTGTTTTTCTCCCCACAGAGCTGGCAGATCTGCTGAATTTCTCCAGTACTTTCTGTTTTTGTTAAACAAACTAATATTGTGTTTCCTGCAATCTAGAAAGTTAAGGGGTAACTTAATCAAAGTTGTGAAAATATTAAGGAGAATAGATAGGGTAAACTCAAAAACACTATTTCCATCAGTTAGAAATCCAGAACATGGTGGGGTTATTTAAACATAAAGTATAAATTATTTTGGAGTGAATTAGGAAACACTACTTCACACACATAATGAAAGAAGTTTGGAACTCTTCCACAAATGACAATTGATGCCTGATCATTAGTTAATTTTAAATCTGAGATTTTTGTCAACCAAAGTTATTGAGGACAATGGGGCAAATCAGTCTTGATTTCATCAAAATGGCAAAGAGGATTGAGGAGCTGATGTCATTTTATTGTTATGTCCCATCAAGCTGCTTATAGGAAAAGCAAAGGAGATCAGCAATTGTTTATAAACAGATGTGGTGAATCGGGATGCAAAATTGGATGATTGATTTTAAAATTCCTTCATTGAAGAAGGAAAGTCAGGAGCTGGAATGGGAAATGAAGCCAGATTATTGATCGAATGTAGAGGAGTCATGGAAGACAAGAGTGTGCAGTTTATGTAGTAGACTGTACGGTCATGTGAATTTAAATTCGATGATAGTGAAGTGAAAAAGTTTGTAGTTTGTTGACCACAGTTTGCTATAATTTGGGCTCTTTTCTTTAAAGAAGGGAAGGTTGAAGGACACCGCGATAGAAATCTTTAAAATTACAGAGGAGTTCAAGAGAGAAGATATCCTCACTTATAAACTAAGTTATAAATATAATATAGTAATTATTACACCTGAGTGGCAAGAATGTGGAACTTACACCCATGTAGAATTGTTGAGGCAAGTATCAGAGCTGTTATGTAAAGAACATAGCAAATAACATTAGGGGAAGCTGGATAAACATAAGCAAGATAAAGGATTACAATGGTACGCTAATCGAGTGAGATGCAGTAAGCTGGGAGAACGCTTTTGTGAGCTTTAGGATTGAGCTATTGTATGTTTCTGTGATGCATATTGAATGTAATTAGTTGTATATGGGTTACAACAAATCATAAAACTGAAATCTCAAATAATTGAAGATATCTCACGTCTTTTAGGCACAATCTGGGGGTTGTGTGCTGATAATGTTGAGGAGCAAATTTCAGAGGAATGCAGGGTTGTTTTAAGTTGAGTTAGCCAGGACAGAGCCTGTGGTGAGAGCAGTGACATTAGAGATGATATTAAAGTGACATGTCATTGGGTTCTATTAATTGCACTGTATGTTTGTCAGGAATGTCCACCCTGAGGGATTGCCTTCAGATTACACCATCACTTTCCTATTCCGCCTGCTGCCTGACACTCCACAGGAGCCCTTTGCCCTCTGGGAGATTTTAAACCAACATAATGAACCTCTGGTTGGAGTCATCTTGGACAGTAAGAGTTCAATATCCACTCACTTCCGTTTTGCATGGAACAGTATCAAAGTGAAATTGTTCTCAAGCCTTCAACTTTGGCGAGCTTTTAGGAGGGGGAACTAGAGATCAAATGTACGCTGCTCATATTAATATGCTGTGTAAGGAAAGAACTTGCATTCCCATAGCTCCTTTCACAGCCTCAGAATCTCCCACAGTACGATAAAGCAAAAAAAGTGTAGTCACTGTTGGAGGAATTGTAGCAGCCAAGATCTCTCAAATAACATGATCAGTAACCACTTTATTTTAGTGATGGCCACTGAATAGTCTAGCACACCAGGGAGAAATTACATTCTCCTCTTTGAAATATTGCCTTTACACTCTTTGGATGACACAAACGTGACCTTGATTTTAAGTTTCATCTAAAAGGTGAGACCCTGACAATTCAGCACTCCCTTAGTACTGCACTGGACAGTTAGCCTAAGCTCAATGCTCAGGTCTCTTGAGTGGGACTGTGAACCTACAATCTCGGACTGAGGTGAAAATTCAATCCATTGAGTCACAACTGACTCCTTGAACGGCACAGCAATATTGGTTAAAAATTTAAAATGTTTGATTGCCTCACTGAGTAAATACCCAGTAAGTTCTAATCATATCTTCAATTGTTTTTCCCTGTAAAGATTTTCTGTGAACTGTTATAAGCTGAAGGAAAGAAACCTCAATGTTTTTTGGCGTTATACCACAGAAGGAAGCCATTCAGCGCAATGAGTCCGTGCCAACTCTCTAAAGAGCAATTTAGTCAGGCCCATTCCTCTGCTCTATCCCCATTACCCTTCAAGTCTATTTCCTTCAAGTGCTCATCCTGTGTTCTTTTGAAATCATTGATCCCTGCTTTTGTCACCCTCGTAGAGCAAGGGTTCCAGTTCAATTGTTAATTGCTGTGTAACATCCCCCTCTATCACTTACCTAAAACCTTAAAGCTGTATCTCCTAATCTCCCACCATCAGCTAATGGAATCAGTCTGGCTTTGCCCACCTTATATAAAGCTGTCATAATTTTATATACCATTGTCAAATCTGCCATCAACTCCCTTTGCTCCAGCTTTTCCAACCTACAGTTGTAGCTAAAATCACTCCTGCCTGGAACCATTCTAGTTAATCTCCTTTACTGTGTCTCATGGGCCCTCATACCCTTCCTAAACTGTGGCAACCAGAATTGGATTCTGTACTGTAGTCCTAAGCAGAGCTTTACAAAAGCTCGGCATAATTGTGATGCATGTTTTACTCAATGCCTGCATTTTCTCAATTTTAATTGCTTTTTGTTTGCTGTGTTTAGATGGTGGGAAAACCCTCACTTACTTTAACTACGATTACAAGAATGAGTTTCAGACAGTCACTTTTGAGGATCCAGGTGTCAAGAAGATTTTCTTTGGGAGTTTTCACAAGGTCAGTGGGTGTAAACAAATGAATTGTCTGTCCTGGATTCGATGTCTGAGTTTCATTGCTGTTATTTCATCATCAGTGTTCCTGAAAATAAATTCAAGGAACCTTCTCAATTTAAGCATACTCCCAGTTTATTTTGCTGCCATTTGGTGTTCTGTTCTTTTGGGGAGTAATCTTATTTAACCTGATGTGTATACATCTTGTGAGACAAATTACCAAATTCTTAGAAGATAAAGCTATGCCAAATGTAAAATATGCTGTACGTTCTATGTAATCCAGTCTAATCCTGATGATAAATTATGAGGAAAATTGCACAAAATAAGGTTGTATTTCCTGGAATTTAGATGGATGAGGGATGACTTGGTTAAAGGTTTTAAGATATTAAGGGGAGCAGATATAGATAGAGAGAAACTGTTTCCAAGGAATTTGAGGAGTGGTGTATATTCTAAAAAATTAGACCATTCAAGACTCTAACTAAGAAACACTCTTTCATAGCAAGTTTGGGCCTTTCACCTCTGTATGCTTAAGGATTTGGGGATAGAGTAGGAAAATGGCGTTGAGTAGGATATCAGTCATGATCAAGTCGAACCAGGGGCTGTTATCTGTTTCCTACAAATTGGAATCAATACATGATCAATTAATGTTAAATCTGAGATGGACAGTTCTTTTTCAGGGATTAGGGATAGAAGATGAATTTGGGTATGTGGAGTTGGGTCACAGTTCTGACTGAATGGTGGAGGGCAGGCTCAAGAGGCTTACTGACCGTTTGCTGTTTCTGTGTTCCAGTTTTTGTCCTGTATATCCTGTGTAATGCTACTCCATATTCTTTTCCAACAGTTGCATGTGGTTATTAGCAAAACCCATGCAAAATTGATTGTTGACTGCAAACAAATTGGTGAGAAGGAAATCAATGCAGCGGGAAACATTAGCACCAATGGAGTCGAAACGTTGGGCCGAATGGTACGGTCAAGAAGCCCCCGGGGTAATTCTGCACAGGTGAGTGTCTCGGCCTTTTCTTCATGATCGCTTGCCTGAAAACGTGGGCCGTATTAACATGACTTAAGTATTGCAAAACAAAGTTAAAGTTTTTCAGACCGTTCTGAGGAAGGGTCACCGGACCCAAAACGTTAACTCTGTTTTCTCCTCCACAGATGCTGCCAGACCTGCTGAGCTTTTCCAGCAACTTTGTTTTTGTTCCTGATTTACAGCATCCACAGTTTTTAAAGTTTTTCATCTTGCTGTAATCAGGACAGACTTGCAAGAGATGACTCATCAAAACTGACTTGCAAATTTAGAAAGGGAACACTGATTTATTCAGCATGTATAGAAGGGTTGGCATGGAGATGCAGCAGGAACTAGTCACTGTTGATCTTAGCTGAGAAATCTTAGACCAAGCAGGTAGAAAGACTCTGATTGGCCACGGAGTTGCAATGGGAATGTAGCTGGGATTGGCAGTCTCCATGACACTTTTCTCAATGGAAAAATTACAGTGTGTGGATGAATTTATTTTGCCTACATAAATACATTTCCTTCATTATCTATTCTAATTGCTTTTGGAGCTGTTTGATTTAATTCTGAGGACTAAGACATTTGAGCTGTGTTTATGTGTGTGATCTGAGTCTCTGAAACTGAGAGAAAATCCAAAGGAGGTGCAATATTTGTTAACATTAGCTGTGACCTCAAATGTAATTATACCCCAGACAAACTTTGAAATCTAACACAACTGAACAGAATGCCTTTTGGTAGTTAGTATTAGCTGGAAACTGTGCATTTGTCGTGACATTTAAAATATGCAAATCACTATTAATGCAAGTTCCTCATAATACTTTTTAAAAATTATTTTGATTTTGTGATCTGGGCACCATTTCTTGTATGGTGGTCTACCATGAAACAAACATTTTTTAGAGAGAGACTTTCCATCTGGTGTATTTGATGTCTTCTAAAGAGTTACATCCTTTGTTGTGAAGACTGAGGCAGAAAAAAATTCCATTAACTATGATGTAGTGTATTAGATTTGCCCCGAAGAGAATGTTTAAGGCCTGTTTTATTATAAATATAGAGTAGGGAATACATAACTGTTTTATTGATGTGCACACTGAGGCAATAAAGGAATAATAGCTCGTCAGTCAGTGCCCTCAGTAACGTTAATGTGCCTCTGTGATACAATAACACAACTTAAAGTGCAGTTAAATAGTAAAATATTTCACACTGCTTCACAAGCATGTTATCAAAAATATGTTTGATACTGAGCCACACAAGGAGATGTTTAGACTGGTGGCCAAAATCTTGGTGAGAGAGAAGAAGTTGTAAAGTGTGTCTTAAAAGAGGAGAGAGATCAAGAGGTTTAAGTTGGGAATTCCAGAGCTTGGACACCAAGGAGCTGAAGGCACAGCCACCAATTATGGAGCAATTAAAATCAAGGATATGCAAAATGCCACAATTGAAGGAGCAAAAATATCTTGAGGTGAGAAAGCCTGGAAGACACAGAGGACCATGACCATAAAGTGTTTAAAAACAATGATAGTAATTTTAAAATTGAGGTCCTAGTGGACTGGGAGCAAGTGTTGCTCAATGAACATGGGGTGATGGATGAAGGGGATCTGGACTGAGTTAAATATGGCAGCAGAGTTTTGGATTACCTCAAGCTAATGTCAGGTGCATGATGGGAGACTGACCAGGAATGCATTGGAATAGTCAATTCCAAAGACATGGATGCAGGCTGCAGCCACTGATGAGCCGAGGCGAGGCCAGAAACAGTTAAGGTTACAGATGTGGAACTCAGCGATATTAGTGATGAGGTGGAAATGTGCTCAGAAATTCATCTCTGGGCGCAAAACAACTTCAAGGTTGTTAAAGATATAGAGATAGTGCGAACTGCTGATGCTGGAGAATCTGAGATAACAAGGTGTAGAGCTGGATGAACACAGCAGGCCAAGCAGCATCAGAGGAGCAGGAAAGCTGACGTTTCGGGTCT